CTCCTGGATCCAGCTGTGTGCATGTGAAGAGTGATCAGTCCACAATGAAACATCCCCTTAAACTGAGTAATGCAGTGACCTCTGACTCCAGGTAAGACACTTGCCATTTTATACAGCTGCTTTTATATAAAGTGACTTGCAGTGCATTCCAGAAGCCTGCAGTGAGTGAGCGCCGTCTCATGTTGCCATCACACAGAGACACAAAATCACATTCCTGAACCCTCAATTAGTGCTGGGCAGTATGACCAAAAATTTATATCATGGTATTTTTCTAAATTATACCGGTTTCACGGTACATGACGGTATTTTTTTTCCATGCATGACCGGGTGTTAACCATATTCTCTACTGATTGAGAGGAAATACTGCAGTATATTGACTTAGAATGCCCTATTTTACTGTCATGATGAGTGAATATTGTCAAAAAATACCACTCTAAATAGTGACTAAACACGACCCATTTTAATACATGGAGTCACTCTCATCTATAATCGCGGCATCGTCTGATAAAATCAACATGCATCTACACTAAAGAGCGGCTATGCGGTTGTTTTGGCTATATTACTTTTTTGTCTCATGCAGCGCACTGCCTGCATCTGAGTAACAAACTAAAAAAAACAACAAACAAAAAAGTGCATGTGATATTAACAGAAGAATTACGCTTATATTTATAATTCCAAACAATCAGTAAGCGACAGGTGCTAGGAAACGCTGTTTTGTACTCATTTATTGACGAGTCTGCTGCGAACATAACATACAGAACAGACGCCGAGAGAGGTGACACTTCTCCGGGAAAGTCACAAGTAGATATAACTACAGACCGGAGATCTCCAAAATGGGGCGTGGACTCCAAAAGTGGGCAAAACCTCCAAAATGGGGCGGGGTCTCCTCGCGCAGACTTTCACCATTGGCTCTGGCTCCAGCCAATTGTTATTGACTTAAATTTCAAAATAAAATTGTATAAATTAAACATTGTTTCTAGTTCATCTAAAATAATATATGCTATATAAGTAAATAATCTCCATGAGAGCAGAGCCCAAAGCTCGTGGCCAGTGGTGTTCGGACTGGAGTTTGAACCTCTGCTTAATGATATAAACGGGAATTACCCACGAGCTCTCCAGCGAGCCGTCTCAGCGCAGGGGAGCGATTTTACTCTATCGCTTTGTTCTAAGCAACGGGGGCGTCCCGGGGCACGAAATACGCAGGGTAGGAGAGGGTAGTGACGCTGGGTGTAACTAAAAAGGTGCCATTGTCTGGTGAGCTCCGGTTGGGGAGTTACGGAACGATCTCATATCGCATAATCTTATTAACTGTTTATCTCCTGAACTGCAACTTTCTTTACCACACAGCGCCAATCCCGCCGTGCAGTCAATTTCACTGGTTAAGGTTAGGGTCAGGTGTGGGGTAGGTTTAAGTGTTAGCATTTTTTGTAGCTTAGTGTAGGAAATCAACACTTTAATTGACAACCAATAAAATCTTTAGAATCAGCTGTGGGGCGGAGTTTGCACTGAAGTGGACTGGGGGAAAAAATTGCGCATGCGTGTCATGTGCCTGTCTGTCAATGGGAGGAAGCCACGCCCTATTTTGGAGCTCCCACCCCATTTTGGAGTTCCCTCCCCCATTTGGAGGTCTCCAAGCTGCAGTTATACCTTTCTCGCTCGGAGCGCCATTCATCCAAGCAGGTATAACTGCAGACCGGAAATGATCTCCAAAATGGGGCATGAACTCCAAAAGTGGGCAGAACCTCCAAAATGGGGCGGGGTCTCTTCGCCCAAAGACTTTCACCATTGGCTGTAGCTTCGGCCAATTGTTAGTGACTTACAATTCAAAATAAAACTTTGAATTAAACATTGTTT